TTTAAGATACTATACGACTATAAACTATATATAAAGCTATCGAAGTATATTATTAGCGTCTAATAGCTTAAATTCTATAGATATATAGTAGATAATAGAGAGTATTAATCTACGTCTATAAAGATATAAGCTATTCTCGAATAGCCTTAGTCTCGAAACGTATATAAAGTACGTTAGTTTTTAGATTTAGCTTTCTACTACTAAAGATTTATCTAAGACTTTATAAAGATTACTATATCTCTATCTAATTTATTAATCGAGGCGGATATTAAGCTTTAAAAAAAGAAGTTCTAACTTATCTAATAGAACGCGAGATATAAGTACGCCTTTTAAGTACTTAAGAAGACTCTCGCTACTAAACTAGTTTTATAATAAGTCTATAAATCGAAGCCTTTTTATATAGAAATAGACTATTTCGAGTAGGCTTTAGGTTATATTCTTCTATAAGAAGAACTCGATAGAAAGTAGTATCTAGTTATCTATAACGAGCGGAAACTTAATAGGGCTAAGCTAAACTATTCTATATATAAAAAGGAGCTTCTTACTATTAAATACGCTCTCTAAACCTAAGTTATATATCTCTAGAATAGTTATAAGACGGTCGTCGTAATTAATTATAAGAGTCTAAAATATTTAAATACTACTCGGACGCCTTCGAAGCGTCTTATATAGTAGATCGATAAGTTTTCCGAGTTTAACTTAGATATTCGATACTATAAAGGCTTCGAAGCTATTATCTCTAATACTATTTCTAGACGATTCGATTTCCTAAGAAAGAGCTCTACTAATAAAGTATAGATCTCTAGTAATATAGAAGTATTTCTAAATATCTAATAAATAGTATATTTAAATAATAATATAGATTAAGAAGATACTATTATAGCTTAATTAATAACGAAGAATAAATTCGACTTAAGTTCGGCCTAGAAAGAGTAGCTAGCGTATATTAAGAACCTAGATTAATACTTCGTAGAAGAAGACTATCTATTCCGAAAGATTAGTAATTACTTCGTTCTCTTTATTTCTATATTATTCTATCGAGACTTTATCGAGTACTATTATAAGTACTATAAATACTATAGCGCGGCCGCTATAGAAAGTATCGTTAAGATATATAAATAGTAGCTATCTATAACGAAGAATATTCTTATATATACTTAAATTTATAACTAATACTAGTTAGTCTAGAGATAGAAGAAGAACTAGAAAAAACTATATTCGTAGATTAGACGGATCTCCTAACTCTTCAAGAAGTAGATAATTAACTTCGTTAGCCTACTATTAACTACGCTCTATAGAAATCAATAGATTCTAATAACTATTAACTTCTCTATAGACTAGCCGATAGTAAAGATCGTAAAGAATACTATAAACGAAGTAGTTATCGACTTTCTATTCGAAATCTACTACTAGTATAGAGTATTTTAAGAATTATTATTAAATAATAGCGCTAATCT